GTGTGTGTGTGTGTGTCAGTCAGTCAGTTTAAAAGGAAGTCCAACAGACAGAAACCTCACACACCTTCCTAACCTTTGTTTCCTGCTGTGGATATTAATACCCCTACCGCCATCACCACCGCAGTTTAAAGCATTGTGCGGTACACTGTGCGTCAGTGCAGATATTACAACTCCCATTACAACAGTGTAATCTCTAAATCCATCCAGATACACTGAACTATTGTTCTTGCTGTTTGGACCGGCTCCGAGAGCACAGAAAACAAACAGCCGTTAGCAGTTGTCTTGTGTCGGAGCATTTGCTACAAAAACACAATAACAAAGAATGCGGCTGATCTGGAGGTGGCCTGATATTTAATCATTAACCACATTCTACTAACAATGTTAAACTAAGTACGTGTTTGTAGATTTAAGCTCGTTCCAGGTGAGAAAGCCCCAGATTCAGGAAACAAAACACCTGAAAAGAAATTCCAGGCTGAAATATACAAATTCAGTTCATGAATGTTATGCATTGCCACGCCAATATGTGCACACGCACAAAGCATTACTTTTGTTGACACAGACTTGTGTGTATTGGAAGAGAATCAAGGGGAAAATCTCAGTCCATCAGCCCATCCTCAGTAAAAACAATAGCACGGCCTCAGGCTGCAAATAAAGGAGGGATGAGACAAAGAGGAGCCCCTTTCCTACCTTTCCTCCCCTTATTCCTCTCAAATAGGCTGTCCTGTCACGGTCCTAATGCAATACAAACCTGGCTGACAGAGAGCTAAAGAGATGGGGGTTATCTCATCGTGCCTTCAGGGGAAATTTGAGAGAAGGGGGAGCGTGGAGCAGAGTGGAGATGTTTACTACTGCACTGGTGGACACAGACACTTGTTGAAGATAGCAGGTAGGGCGTCAGAGATTGAAAGAAACACATGTGGCACAAAATGCACGCATGCCTGATAAAGAGCGATGAGCTCATATATATATGCAAGTGTGTGTGCAGTGGAGGGTGTGGCTGTGTTTGTTGTGGGAGGTTGGGGATGGTCAGGGAAAGGGAAGGGCAGGTTTGTGGGTTAGTGTCATTTTTCCACTTGAAAATAAGGGCGTCACCTGAGAACAAAAGGCAAAACCTAACTGACAGGAGAGACTACAAAAGAAATGTAACTACTGGTATTTAACAAGTATTGATGTATGTCTACATGCTTGCACATGTAAAATATCTTTGTATACTGATTACATAGTCTTATAGGTACAAAAAAGGGAGCTTCTGAAATTTATCGTGCGTAGATAAAGTAGGGACGACCGGGTTCTGCTCCTGAACATTATATTATCTATTTTTAATTCTTCTTTTTTACTTGATTATACTATTTTTCTGTATGTAACTATATTAAAGTAATGCAAGAAACAATTCATGCTTTTTAAGCACCTTTGTGAACAATGAAAATGTGTAATAACTCAACCTCAGGGCCGGCTCGAGGACCAGTTGGTCCAAACACTAGTTTACATTCCCATCAGCCTTAGTTGTACCTCGTGTTCAGAGCTAATTAGCTTATGTTAGAATGCTAACATGCTAAACTAAGATGGCGAACATTAAACTTGCTAAACATCAGCCTCTTAGCATTGAAGTTAGCATGCTAACATTAGCATTTAGCCCATTTAGTACAGCCTCAAAGAGATGCTACCATGGCTGTACCCTCTTATGCTGCCTTCCAAATCACTTTTTACTTTTAATAAGTTCATACTGTTTTATGCAGCATGCATATAATTGGTACTACCGTGTCATAACATCACACCTTGAACTTTGACCCTCTTGCGCATACATCTGTGGAAGTCCATAGTGCGAAAATTTGAAGTAAAAAGAACTTTGGAGATACAACAAAATGCCATTCACCCAGAGACTCTTCTGTTGTTACTACACTACTCTCTACACTGAGCTGAGGCAGCTCAGGAGCACGTTCAGCTACAGACTGACCCAGCCCCGAGCCTCAAAGCGGTTTGGAGGCTTGTTTGTTCCATCAGCCATCACTCACGACTCCACACCACCCCCGCACACGCACCCAGTACCTCCAACCCCCGAGCACCTACACGCCCTCGGTTTCAACTCTCCCTCCACAACGCACAAACCTTTGCAACCCTATCTTCACATA